CCCCCCCCCCCCCCCCCCCCCCACCCCCGCCTCCACAAACACCCCTTTTTTCCAAGTGTGTGTTATCTAGTTTGTCTTGAAGCGTGGATTATCCAGAGTTCCATGCAAGGAAGGCGGAGGCAGAAATGTATGGACAGGAATCCCATGAGCTACTCCAGGAACTGCACTAGGTACCATGCCCCCAACGCTGGGCTGAGTACTGTGCACAGGGAACTGGTGAAGGTCAGCCAAGCAGTAATTGGAACCAGGATTAGTAGAGAGCGCATTTCCTTCCATCATGACAGACACGTCACGAATTCCTTGCACCGCGTTACGCCAGATCTTGTAAGGGACTGCCAACAGAAGATAACAAGGCCAACAGGCGCACCAGGCTGGGTGACAGTCGAAGAAATGATTGACAGCAGAACAGTTTGTGACCACAAAATTGGCTCCAACCGTTGCCGTCATTTCAAGACATTCCAACGAGTCGTACCGCTTGATCCCTTGACTCTTCCACCAACGAAGAATCATGGGATTGAAGTTAAACTGTCGAGAAAGATATCCGAGCGTCTCTTTAGAAAATCGACTTACTTGTCCTTGATTCAATGTTCAATGCACAAATGTGAAGCGATTATGTTCCATAATAACTGGGAGTCATTACCCTTCCTTGCTACGGGCTCTACAAGCATATTCAAAGCAGGTGAAATTATTTTTGAGCATTACAAAGTATTTCAGTAGCCACGACACTTAGCTGAGTTCTATTGGAAATCTGCCAATCTGATTGGTTCTGTCAGTTAGCGTTTCGTTCGTTTAAGCGTCTACTCTCACTCTCTCGCTATTTTGAGTCTTCTGACCCTTTTGTTCAAAGACCGCGCGCCGGCCAAAATGAAAATTCGACTGTTTAGCTGTCAAGGAATCAACAACTTTGAAGTCTTACTACGTCTGATAATGACATTTTTGTACTGTCATTCTCGCTCGAAAACAAGTAATACGTGTACCTATCTCGAGGGACCTCGACCTCGTTTTAGCTGCATGAGCCAAGTCTACCGGTAGAATTTTTTCATTACAGATGTTTTGTTTAGCCGCTCTTATTATACTGTCTTCTATGTTTTTATTCCGCCAGCAGTAGTTTGCTAAATCCTGATATGAATTCGAACCCCGCCAGGACGAAAGAATCAGCTCTATGAAATGGCAAAATCATACTGAATCAAACTAAGTCTCGCGTGCGCGGCCACCGACCTTGCTTCGAGAAGAATTCATATTTTAAAATCAATCAAGACCACTGACCTCTATAGCAAAACTCGCTTTTTCACGCAGCATGTCCTCAGCCATGTCGAGTCCATCTTCTAATTTACGTCTCACGTTAGGATTGGAAGTATCAACGCTGACCACAAACTCCGGTCGAATATATCGCTCCTCGTAAAAGGAGGTACCGTGCTCATTACCCCACCGGGCATAGGGGTTCCGCCAGGGTGTGCTGTTAGATTGGATCCACCACTCGGGATCCCGAAAACTCAAGTATTGTCCCCTGTTGTTCAATCTGATCGTCGTTCAGAAAAAAGGAAATAAAATAAGAAAGAGACGTCAGCTTAATTTTCAACACTGTTAGCTTTAATTGTGTAGACTGTAGTTTGTTTTTGAGGCCTAACTGACGAAGAGTTGAAAACCTTACAATTGGCTCCGCAGGTGTATCAAGAATTTTATTCACGAAAATTGGCCGAGTCGTGTTTTTCGGCTATTTAGCAAATCCAGCCATTGAAAAGGTAAATAATTCATCCGTTTGTCTCGTGAAATCTCGACAATTTTTTTTCCAAACGATTTCGTCTTCTAGCAAAATCGGCGAGACTTTGATACGACCAGTTTCTGGCGCTTGAAGTATTCCGTAACCCAAAGAGATCAAAATATGTCAGCTAGATGTATACCTTGAGGTAATACCGCATTAAAACGATATTGAAGGTAAAAAAGTGACTGGTTTTAAGTTCTAACGGCAAAATTTACAAACCAAAAGCTTAAGCTGTAAGACGTACCTTTGCCCGTGTGGGACGTGTTTGCCGCAAGTTACAAACAGCAAAAGCGGACGATTAAGGATCTGATTGCGGAAAGCTTCCAGGTCACTAGTTGACTTTACAATGTTGGTCTTCAACGTGTTAGTAAACTCTTCTTTATCGCTAATGATTGAGACTTGTGTGTTATCTGGGAGGCGTACGTGTGTGTCGTCAGGGCCGCTTTTGTTCACTCGAAATTCATTCGGAGGGACAGATTTAAACACCGAGAATGAAATCAAAACGACTTCTGGCGAACTCTGCATTTCAAAACTGTATCTCAGTCTTTGAATCAAGTAGCAATACGTTCTAATGGAATAATTTAAATGCTCATTAAAAACAAAGTAGCATCAGTTATACGTAATGTATACTATTTTTGTTTACAGCTGTACAAATACTACTGAACACAATGTCCGTGTTTTAACCTTCACTACTGACACAGGAAGACTTTTCCGACTGTCAGAAAACAGCATAAACTTAAGTCACGACTGAAAATAATATTTTCAACCAATAAAACTAAAATGCTACAACTTGTAACCCAACAAGAACCCCGGACAACCTTACCATATCATCTACACAACTGCGAGACAAGTTGTTGAAAAGCGCATTAATAAAATTCCCAGCTGTGAGTTTCTGTATTTTCCTGCAGTGTACATCACTCTTTGAAAGTTTGCCACCGAGAAACGTACACGTTATTATATTTGCTATAATCTTTATAACTATGATAACGATATGACTGAGAAAATTACTTCATTCTGATTGGCAGAGACCAGGCAATCCAAATTTACGAATTTCTCACTCATACAATAAATGGGAGCTCGAGCAATTAAGATTTTACATTTCTCGTTATTCTTTCAATTTATCAAATTTGTTCCTTAGCGTTATTCTTTTTTTAATTCATGAAAAATTTAGGAATTACTGAGTACTTATTTACGTTTCCATTTGGCTATTTTGAATGCAAATCTTGTGACACTGACCGCTAAGATGGACCGCTCACGAATTAATGACGGCAAATTGCTCTTTCAATTCATTGAACAAAATGAAAGTTTAAGTAGAAAAATAGAAATCTTTTTACCTCCCTGATTTGAGCACAATTTATATTTCAGTTAAATGTTCAAAGAGGCGACGTGAGAAACGTAAAGAAATGCTTATTTTTCGCGCGCGCGTTTACCGAGAATGGATCGCGGAAACGCATTAATTTATCAGCAGAATGAAAAGAGCCATTATAATAAATACTTTATTGAACTTGCTTGTTCGAAAAGATATTTATTTCCCGCTTTGTCTGACTGGTTGAAAAATGTTTTAACTGGTTTAAAACTTTGAATCCCGAAATGGAGTTGAAATTGAATCACTTAAATGTTTTAACAGTCTCTCAGCCTCTCTAACACCTGTCAAATAAGCTCCATGAACCGTACCATAAAAATAGCGATGTGTCGCTTCACCCGCGAACATCAGCTGAAGGGCCGGGGCCTCCTTGCTACCAGCTGACTCGCAGGGAAGGGGTGAGGCAAGGGTGTCAAAGTCACTCCCTGAGCCTGCTTTGGACACAAAAGAATATGAACCTCTCGTCCAAGGATTAGTTCCCCACTGTGTCCTCTCAACATTCACAATGGGTGGCAATGATTCGAGAGTGGTGCACTTTTTTATTGCTTCCAGGCATTGTTTTCCAACTTCTTGAGGCGAAGTGCTTTCAATGTGAAGTGATTCTTTGCCTTGGAACCAAGACTGTAAAACATTAGCCCCGGGGCGAGTTGTGTACAATGAGTACAGCCGGTGGACCCAAGGGCAATTTGCAGTTTCTGCTTTATTTTTCAAACTTTCCTTGTCTTCCCAAATCAGTGGAAGGCTATACTCATCCGAAGGCCAAAAACGTCGTTCAAACTCAAGAAAAATCTTGCCAACATAACCAAATCCAAGATCTTGAATCGCAGCTATTTTGTCAGTGGGCAAAGAAGGACGGAACAATGTGGAGTGTTTTTCTTTGAGAACGCCAAGAGAAACTGTTACTATCACGTGATCTGCGTCAAATGTTCTACCATTTCCACAAAGTATTTTCACTGGGTGATAACTGCTTTGAGGTTCACCCGGTTCACTGGAAGCAACCCAGTTTATTTCTGCCACTTCATGCTGAAAATGGACACAACCACTGAGCAGTCCTGCTGCTAGTGCTCTTGCAATTCTGTCGAAACCGCTGGGAACAGGGCAGGAATTTGAACCCCCTAAATAAACGTACTCTCCAAAGCATACAAGATTTAAATCATACAGCGAATTACAACCACTGTTAGAACATTCCCTTTCTTTGAAAAATGAAAACAAGTTAGTCTTTAGTTTTTTTGTTGTAGCAGTGTCTGAGGTACATGAATCAAGGTAACATTGGAAACCTTGGTGTAAGTAATCCCCAACAGACATTTTGGTATCTTTGGTGAAATTTATCATTTTGTGGATATCTTCAGTTTCAGAGATTAAGTTATCAAATACATCCCAAACCTCCGCTATCAGTTGATCATCAATAGGTTGCTGCAAGTGAGTGGTGGCAACTGACTGTGGTTTTTCTCGGCTGTCTTCATTCACCCACTTCTTATCAAGATCTGATTTGTGAAGGAATTGCAGATTGCAAGCCAGGTCAAATATGGGATTGTCCACGGTACCATGAATCCATTCTGCCCCAAACTCAACTGTATTCTCTCCAATCTTGCCAGTGTGTATTCGGCCACCCACACGCTCACTGGCCTCCAGGACACACACCTCAACTTGCCCAGACTTGTGCAACTTGCTGGCGGCACACAGGCCAGCTATTCCCGCCCCAATTATCACTACTTTGGGTTTTGACGACATTGCTAAAGATATAAGCTGAGATCCAAGAGAAAAGAAACATTAAAATTACAAGAATGATCCTAGACTATCCTAGACTACGAGTAGTCTCTCTTTTGCTTAGTCCGTCGTGCGTGACGTGAAAGAAAACCACGAGAAAAAAAATGGCCAGGCAAAATCCTGGAGGCGAGGAGCGCTCCTCGCCTCCAGGATTTTCGCGCTGCCATTTTTTTCTTGCGGTTTTCTTTCACATCACGCACAATGGACTAAGCAAAAGAGGGACTACTCGTAGTCTAGAATGATCCATATAATACTTTATCATACCAATATTTTTTGACTTGTGTTAATAATAATGAATGCCCTTTCCCCAGGGGTGACTCCCAGGTGAAAAGGTCAGGGATGTTCATTGATCTTCATTGTCTTGCTTAGGGGTGTAAATCAAGAATTTTGGTCTCACTTAGGTTCTTAGGGTCAGTATAAAACCTGACTATTTTTAGCGGTCAAATTATATTTTTATCACGCATATGGTGCACTCAAAGAAGTAATAACAAAATGTTATCATTTCCATCTAGGTGGTACCTTTTAGGAGTGAAATAAAGCTTGAGCCACGCCCAGATTGGTCTCCTTTGGGGGTTTAATTCAAATTTTCCAACAAGCATCCCTAAATCCCTACCTTTTCATATGGGAGAACTTCTCTCCCGAGAAATACGCTGGAATTTCAACTGACGGCTGGGAAATCACCCAAACTGAAACTAATAACATCACCTCATCAAGACTCTCTAGTTAACAACATGCTCAAATCATGTCTACATCNCCCCCCCCCCCCCCCCGTATCCCACCTATTACTTTCTGACTCTTAATAAATTGAGATCTGCCTATCTTAACATCAAAAAATATTAAGTTCGATCAACCAGTGACTAACGCAATTAATGACTATGTGTAATACTATATATTTATATTACCTGTAACACAGTAATACTGCATAGTAAATGTACAACATAATCAGACATATGTATCAAATATTTTGAAAGACCTTTTCCAGAAATACCCATAGATAATTATTCTAACTGCATCTATGCCACAGTCATCAGAAAGGTCTAGCAAGAACAACAGAAAGTAACAAAGGGAGAGCAAAGTTTCTGTTTCAAACACTGATTATTAATTTCACAAAATTCACATGTCACACAGACTATTAACAACAAATTTATTCATGAATTTGAGAATTGAAATTGTCTTCAGTTACTTTTCACATCTCACACTAATTTTTACCCTCATCACCAATAGGTCACACATAAAGGTGCCCTCAATGCTTTAAAAGTCATAAAGGTCCACAAGCATGTTCTATACGTCTAGTTGAAAAATTTATGAAACTTATGTGAAACGCTATTCTGATTGCGCAGAAATTCGGCAGTGTGAAACTCTGAAGTTGAAATAAGGTTGCCTTCTAGAAATCATATTTTTTTCACTTCCTTGCTTAACATCATGATTCCTTTGCAAACCCTGCCAGCTTACAATTTAAGCAATATAATACTTAATTGTTGCATGTTTACATAGCCTCGTCTAAACATGAGGGGGGCTGGGAGAATTTGAGACAGTTATGCAAACCTGAGACACGGTCAAGGGTTTGTATAACTTTTGAGAATTCAGATGGGACAATGTAAGCGTGGAAAAGTCCTCTATTGCTTTCATAAAATATTTCTCAAAAATATGCATGAATCTAAAATGCCACAACCAGGTTAACGTACTCTTATCTAAACAGTGACCAATGAGAGCGCATAGTAGCTCAGTTATTTTATAATATCTGATGGTGATCTCCTTCAAAACAAGAGAGTTATATTAAATTCAGTACTTGTACTAATTATGTCACATAAATGTTTTGTTACAGAAAGTATCCACACCAGCCTCCCATGAAAGGCTTCATGGCTTGACTTAATAAAAGAAAGGTTATTTAGGGAGTTGCAGGTTGTGTTGGGTTCAAGTTAACTGTACAAATAACAAAAGATTACAAATACCATATTACTAGGCTTCTTCACTGTAGTCGGTATGTGTTCAAATAAATTAATTCACAAAATTATGGTACTCAATAATTTAGGATTGAGTGTTGAGCGATACTCTTGATTGATACCCTCTATCAACATCTCAATCAACATCCAACACTTGATCAACAGTCGGCCAATGGTTGGCCGATTGTGACAACTGACTCATATGCATCGATCGAAAATTAGTCGATTCTCAACCGACTATACTCAATTAAAACTTGGAAGATTTTGAAACTCATTCATATGATGATTCATTATTACTGCAAGGAGAGTACCAACAAACTAGCTATTAGGGTTTACATTTATGTTTAATGATATGAAAACAATGAAACAAATGTGACTGGATTTAACATACCTAGTCATAAAAGCCTAATTAACACCTTGATGGATGTTAAAGATTTCAGATGTTTCTAATTGGTGTACAGCACACAAGCAAAAATGTATGGTAGAGAGTAGCCACTTTTTTCTTAACATTTGCAGAGGGGTGTCCGTGTTTTTTGCCCTTATCCAAGAGGACTGTGTTTGCATAATTTATCAGCTACTTTCCAATTTCCTGTAACTGACTTCCCTCTGTGTTAACAATGAAAGGATTCTCCTATATTAAATAATGAGATTTTGACCATAGAGTAGAGAGAGAAGCAAGGGGGGTGCTTGGGATCATGTTTACTTTACTGTTTAATGTAGGTAGTGTCGGTCAACACCCTCAACCAATAAATCAACCAACACTCAGTCGATACATTGGCCTTGTATATACCGACCTTGTATCAGCCAAGTGTTGAACAATGAACAGCCAATATATCGGCTGACAGTCAGTCGAGTGGCACTTGAATATCAGTTGAGTGTTGGTTGTGTGTTGGTTGGGTATCGGTCGATACATCAGCCGATATATGTGTCTGTCAGCCAATAATATCAGCCGTGTATTGGCCGAGAGTCAACCTATACTCAGCCAACGTATCCATGCACCAAGTGTCGGTGGATATATTGTTCCATGGTGTTGACCAACACTGTCTACAGTAAACATGATCCACCAAAATGGATGCAACATCTAAAGGCAACATTGGAACATTGTTGGGCACAACACGTTGTACACATTTGGCCATGTTGTGTTTAGCCGAGCCTTATTTGAATAATTTATGATAATTTTCAGTTCTGTGAAGAGTCCAGGGGCCAGTTTCTCGAAAGCCCTGGGAACTTTTCGGGCCCATAAAGCCATTTTTGGTTCATCTGTATCTAAAAACGCAGAAGTGTATACGCCTGAAATTTCTTATATGAAGGGAACCTCTGTTCATATTAAGAATACGTTAATAAAACAGCTCTGTAGTCATAAGGTTCGAGATTTTGTTATGGCTTTCCGGGTGCGAAAACTTTTCAGGACCTTCGAGAAACGGGCTCCAGTTTCGATATTAAAATTCTACGATGGCCCGAGACTTAAGGGACTAAGAGTAAGAGAAAAGAAATTGTTTATTCATCCCTCAACCTCACGTGTCGTGTGATTCATGTGATCAGTTCCGTTAAAGCCTGGAAGGCACTAAAGAATTTTAAAATCAAAATTTGGCTAGTGCTCATTTTAGAATGCAGTATTTTCAAATATTCTGTTTTACAGTGAAAACATACAAGCGGTTACCAAAATTATCTCCTGAACCTGGAATCAGTCGAGAAAAAGAAAAAAAAACAACCAGCTTCAATTAAATTCAAATTTACGCTCAGTTTAATAAATTTTCAAATTAAACGTCCATGGACAACTTACCCGTCTCAATCAGAGCAGCATATTATCCCTGATAGATCGTGTGTTGCGGCTGTGATCATGAATGAACTACTCTCTCAATCCCGTCCTCAATCCCCAGCCACGTACAGTGGATAGTATGGGAGGCCATATCAGTCAAAAGTGGTATGAGTTCACGACTGGTGATCAAGAAATCGATCGCTATGGTTGAGTTTATCGATTGGTGATTGAAAATGTCGATCGCTGTATTTGAGATTATCGATTGGCGATTGAGATTGTCGATCGCTGTGGTTGAGATTATCGATTGCTGATTGAGAATGATGGTCGCTATGGTCCAAAAAGTGATTGAATATTAATACTGACGATTGCTATGGTGGAAAAAAGGATTGGTGTCTGAAAAAGATCGTCCAGAGATTGACGATCGCTATGCTCGAGAAATCGACTTGCAACTGAGAAATGGAAAGGCCTGGTAATAAGAGAGGGATAGTTCACGTATTTTTACATGAAGAGGTATCCCAAGAATTTACTTTTTGATCTAAGGCCATCCCCTGTTGTTTTGGGTTTTTTTTTTTTTCGTTTATTGTCGAATGCGTTTTCTGATTTTGGGTCGGTCGGTCGGAAAAGCAAAAACAAAGCAAAAATAAAATTGGAAAACGAGTCTGGAATTAGGAGGCCCGGTACCTCAGCATAATATCCGTGGGGCCTGCAAACAACAAGGTGTGGTTACAAAGTCAACATCACGGCAATGGAGGAAGGAAAACGGAAAAAGTCGACGTCGTTGTTAAAATAAAACGAGAACAGGGAAAAGCTAAAATTCAGTAAGGCAAAAAATTGCTCATGTTTCAGATTAAAGTGACAGTTATTTGAAATAATGTGTCATTGCTTTCATTGCCTTCTGTGTAACTTTTTAACCGCGCGGCCATGGGCCGAGCGCGGTTCATGTTCTACCCTTGGTTTATTTTTTTTTATTTTTTTTTTGTCGGAGACCAGACGTAGATCTC